CACGGACCTCGGATGGACTGGGTACCTGGCAGGGGGGTGGGAAAGAAGGAAAGGAGCAAAGCCCACCTGGATGGTGCCTTTCCAAGGAGGGGCCTGGGGAGAGAGAGCCAAGAGGTGAGAGGAGCCAGGCCAGGGGCCGGGGGCGGGGCTAGGCAGCACCTCCCACCACCCTGGGGCGTCCGCACCTTGCACGTCTCGGCAGGCCAGCTTGCACTCTTCCTCCCGCAGGTAGTTGTTCTTGTTGCCCATGCAGCCGCCGAAGACGAAGCTCTTGCAGATCTGCTCCGTGGGGTCGTAGTACCAGCGGGGGAAGGAGCTCCGGCAGCGGCCCACCTTGTAGGAGGCCAGGCAATATTCTAGGGGGGGGCGGGGGCTGCGTGAGCTGGGCGTTCGGGGCCAGTCAGCGGAGAGCAGGGACCCCGGTGGTGCCTCCCCTCGCCCTCATCACCTTCCGTCTCCTTGGCAGACAGCACAGTGACCGTGACATTGGCGGTGTCATCTGGCTGGTCAGAGCTGGCCACTGTCAGCTGGAACAGGTAGGTGCCTTCCTTGAGCCCCCACAGCTGGACGTGGTCTGGGTCATTTTTCTATGCACAGGAGGGGCCATCAGGCTGGGCAGCACCTGCTGCCCTTGGGCTTCCCAGGCCTCCCAGCCACACATACACTCCTGGGGCACCCAGAGATTCCATCGTTCTCTGCCTGGCCTATCCCGTGGATGGGGGAGGGCCAAAGAGCCGGACCAGTACCTCACCTCTACCCTGACGGCAGGGTCACCTTGCAGCAGGTGCCAATCTGCGTTCGCCCCACTCTTCAGCACTAGGGGCTCCTGCGGTTGCACCTTCAAGTTCATGCTCTTGAGGGCCCGGGACCCTAGAGAGAAGGGGAGATGAGGTCACCACCTACTATGGACCAGGGTAGGTCCTAGGGGCAGGGGATTAGTGTGCACCAGACCTAGGCCCTGCATGGGGGCAGGCTGGGGTACATAAGCCATCCTTTTGCTCTTTATTCAGAGATATTATGTCTTTGATATGTGGGGGATGTTTTTTTTGGGGGGGGGCGGTAAAACTGGCTGTTTTACAAAAGAAAATGTTTGCACAGCATGTGGTATCCGCTCACATTAGGAGGGGATGGGGGTCAAATCTGAGCCCAGGGACTCCCTTCGGGCGGTCTGAGCTGTCAGAGTGCTCAAGAAGACACCAGCATGTACCGGCGGCTTACAGTGCGGGACTGCCATTGCTCTTGAAGTCCTTTCCTTGATTCCTGACCTTTTGGAAGCTCCCTTGCATGTATTACATTTGGGGCAGGGGGACTTGATCTTGGTTTCTACACTAAGTGGGTTCTTGTGCTAATTGCTTTAAAAATGTTACGATAACATTTCTCAGGAAGCCAGAGAAGTAAGTGTGTGATTAAATCCAGCCCTTGTCAGGCTGCTGACCAGAGGCTGGGGGGAGGAGGGAGGACCCCGAGTGGCCATCTGGATAGAGCCCCAAGCACAGCTCTGGGCACCAAGCTGATGCGTTGTGGTGCCCTGGAGGAGAACGGCTCATCTGACGCTGTCTGCAGGTACAGGGGCCCTGCCTGGGGGAGCCCGGTGTCCCTTCACCGACCGGCACCGCCTGAAGCTCTTCCACAGGGAAGGGGAGGCCTGGGAGGCTTCCTGCCAAGAGTGGGCTGGCAGCTGGCCACACCGCCATCTCTGGAGTCTGGGACTGGGACCAGATTTGGATGAAGGCTCTTGAGCCGATGTAACTAAGTTAAGGATCTTTTGCTGAGATCCTCCTGGGTTACTGGAGTGAGGCCTCGGTCCAAGTGACCTTCGGACAGACAGAAGAGGCGAGAACCGCACATGTAGATGGAGGCAGAGATTAGCGCCCACAGGGAACGCCTGGACCACCAGGGGGACGAGATCAGGCAAGGAAGTGTTCTCCCCAAGAACCGCCTGAGACCGTTTTTCTGACTTCCAGGCTCCAGAATGCTAAGGATAAATTTCTGTCCTTTTAAGTCACCTGTGTTGTGGTCATCTGTTACAGCAGCCACGGGAAACGAATCCGCTTCCCTTCAGGCGCCTGTCGTCCAGTTGAGGAGATAAAACCCCAACCTGAGCCACATGAACCAGGAGGTGGGCATTCTGAGAAGGGAGCGACCACCGCAGGCTAGAGTGGCCTGTGAAGGCTGGCTTTCTGGCTGGGGGTGAAGGAGAGACGCTCTTGTTTGGGGCCAGTTGGGAGGAAGAACGTATGTTCCTGATGTTGACAACAAGCATGACCCACCAAACAGGGCGTGAGGGGCGTGCAGGGCTGGGCTGGTGGGCAGTGAGGTAAGGAAGCCAGCTGGGCTGGGGCAGGCCCCCACGGGCCCTGCACAGAGGCCAAGGCATTTGGACTTAAGACTCTCAGCAAGAGAGAAAATTAACTATCTCACAACTGTGGCGTTTTTGTTTTGGGGTTGGGTACAGGAAGGGGAGAGGCACTGGCCCCATTCAGGAGTCCTAAGGGATGGGCCCCAGAGAGGGGCAGCAGTGGGCACTCAGAGCTCTGGCAGGATCTATGGGGCCCAGGGCAAAGGCTCAAGGTACAGGCACCAGGAGCAGTCTGGTTTGGAGGGTCAGCCAGTGAGGAATGGGAAGGACATGTGAGAAACTACCCCCCGGGGTTGGGGGGCCAGACGGGCTGGTTCTGGGCCGGAGACAGAGGCGGGGACAAGTGGAGGGGAGGCCAGCGTCCGAGGGGGCTTGTGCATTCGGTCTTACAGAAGTCCCACCAAGGAGGGCAAGTGGCCAGCAGGCAGCGGGGAGGTGCGGTGGGAGCGCCAAGAGGCCTGGGTGCAGGCAGATGGGGAGTGGAATATTCTGTGAGGGCAGGGCTGCAGTCAAGTACGGTGACAGCACATGCACACTGATGTTGGTGGTTGCCTTGACTGGATTTGAACTCCTGGGGAGCCTGTGTGTGCAGGGTGAACTGCTCCATGGGGTTTGCAGGCTGCACATCCCCAGACCTGTTTTCCCAGGTGCCTCTGGGTAGGTGTGAACCACCAACGCTTAGATTTAGCTTAATGGTAGGAAGCACCCGGGGAACCCGTGCTAGGGACCTCACCGGCACTACCTACTGCACCATGGCTCACGGGCCAACCGAACGCACTGCCTGTGACCCTTATTACATGGCAACCAGTGAATAATCAAAAGAGACTACTGTTTCATGTGAAAATGATATGGAATCCGAATTTTGTCTCCATAAATTGGAACCCAGCCACCACAAACGAGCCCCGTCCCTAAACCTGGCCGTAAGTCAGATTTGTATGTAAACTAATGTCTGTTAGTCATATGTTTGTCTTGACATACAGTGCCATCCCACCCCAAACGCACCCAATCTCAAAGCTAAGCAGGGTCGGGTCTGGTTAGGACTTGGATGGGAGACATACAGAGTCCATTTCCATTCATGACACACTTCAAAGAAACACTTGTAGATGCACTAAGAACACCTTTGGATAATACTGGAGTAAAAATAGTGTTGTTGGGAGAGGGGAGCAGGGAGGGAGGGGGAAAAATGAGGAGCTGATGCCAGGGGCTTGCGTGAAGAGTGGATGGTTTGAGAATGATGAGGGCAATGAATGTGCAAATGTGCTTTACACAATTGATGTATGGATGGATTGTGATAAGAGTTGTATGAGCCCCTAATAAAACGATGTACAAATTAATAATAAAAAAAAGAATGGCAAAAAAAATAGTGTTGTTGTGATACACATTGGCAAGTATGTACTGGCCATTTATTATTACAAAACATTGCATGTATCTTAAATCTTTAACACAAAGGCTTCCTGGGTTCAGAGCTGTAGAATGCATGAATGCAGCGGAGGCCTGCATCACAGCAGAGTTCAGCGGTTGCAACACGAGGCTTCATGGCCCCCAAGCCGAAGAGATTGATTGTTGGGACCTTTACAGGAAGTCTGCACCACCCACCGTCACCACAGCACTCCCAGCCCTCTTTAAGACCAGAGACTCGGAAAACAAAACTCACAACAGCACAGGGCAGAGCTGTCGCGTGGGCTTCCGAAGCTGTGACTCTTTACAGGAGTAGAAAGCCTGAGCTGGTGAGATGGTTTGTTCCAGTGTCTCAATTACTCACAGGCAGAGCTGGGACTTGAACCCAGGGCTACCTGACTCCACAGCTCCTGCTGGATAAAGAGCACGCTGCAGACCCTCCGCCGGCTAAGCTATGACTGACTGCCTTTACTACTGTGGGGTTTTTGTTTTGTTTTTAGCTTAGGCAATTTATATTTACCTGATAGAAAAAAATCTAAGGTAGTAAAAAATTAAGCTTTGTTTTCTCTTAACCCCTCAGATTCCTCTCCCCAAAAGCACCCTATTTCACCAGGTATGTGTATGAAAGAGATAAATAAATATCTCAAGATACTCTTTGAATTCACAAACAAGCAAGTTCTTCATCTTGTTTTTTCCTGAATCCATATTGAAAATCATTCCATCGCAATACACAGAAAACCAGACTCACGGCCTTTGAGTCAACGATAACTCCTAGTGACTCCCCCTGGGTCGCCGAGACAGAACTGTTCATGGGAGCAGAAAGCCCATTCTTTCTCCCAAGGAGCTGCTCGTGGTTTTGAACTGTCAACACACACACACACACACACACACACACACAGCTGCTAGTGGTTTTGAACTGTCAATACACACACACACAGCTGTTAGTGGTTTTGAACTGTCAACACACACACAATAGTATTCCACCCCTGTTGGTTCCCATCTAACTTCCCTCACTTGGCTCATCAATGGAGGCACTTGGGGGCCTGGTGATCCCAAGGATCAGCGAAGTTGGAGAACCGACGGTTCAACCTTTTCTCTGCCAAAGGCCACTGGATATGTTTCCCCACCCCTGGTTTAAATGAGTGAACCCTCCCATCCTTCTCTCTGCTATTCACAAGGAAGCCAGGCTGCTTTAGCTCTGACTGTGAGGTCATATTCAACAGAGCCCTGGTAGTGCGGTGGTTCCGTGAGTTGGGCTGCAAGCCCTAGAAGCGCCTGTTCGAAACCACCAGCCGCTCCTCAGGACAAAGATGAAACTTTCTACTCCCACCACGAGATACAGTCTCAGAAACCCACTAGGGCAGTTCTGTCCTGTTCTATAAGGGCACTATGAGTTGGAAACAACTGAATGGCTGTGAGTGTGTAATATTTGACTACAGGGCGCATAGGCAGAAATGTTGATCCTTTCCATTTTGTGTGTAGAACAAAAGGTAGTTGGTTCAAAGAGAATGAGGGTTACTGCACAGTTTAAAATCAACAAAGAGGGGAGGGGGGATGAGGAGCTGATACCAAGGGCACAAGTAGAAAGAAAATGTTCTGAAAATGATGAGGGCAACAAATGTACACATGTGCTTGATACAACCGATGGATGTATGGAGTGTGATAAGAGTTGTACCAGCCCCCAATAAAGTGATTTATTAAAATTAAAAAATATCAAGACAGCTATGTGTAAACACTGTACTTCTACTACACTCAGAGTCGATCTGTATATGAACCAATCACTGGAGAAGTTGGGCTACATGAAGAATGCTCCCTCAGCATCAAGATCTGAGGAAGACTCATTAGCAATCTGCGATATAAAGATTCAGAACGTTTTTTTCTTGATTGAGAGAAGGATACAAAATGCGAAGTCCACAGTTCTGATAACTGACAACTGCCAATTGTTTTGCAGTACTTTATTCTACTGGGTGTCTTGTTTTTCTTGGACATTTAGTTAGCTAACGAATGAATACATTAGACACTTTTGGATTTGAGTTGGGAATTTACATAGCTTTCATTTTAATTATTTGGTTGTCTGCTGTTTCTATAAACTCATAGCATTATTTTAATAAATGTTATAATACCAACCTTAAAAAAAAATCTGTGATACAGAGATGACTCAACCTTGCTTGCTGAAAAAGACTTACAGCACTTTCTGCTCAAGGTCACAGGCTACAGCCTTCAGTAGGATTACACTTCAACATCAAGAAAACCTAGATCCTCCCCACCGAGCGAACAGACAATGTCACAGTGAAAGGGCAGAGAAGCCTGACGTTGTCACAGATTGCATTTTAGTTGGATCTACAATCAACACCCATGGGAGCAGCTGTCAAGAGATCAGAGGTTGCTATGAGCCTGCACTCGAAGGCAGCGAATGTACTTGTTTTGTGAGAGGGACTCTGGGACAGAGAGAGACCCACGGATGTTTGAAAAGGGACTCTGGGCTTGACAAAAAATAGGAAAAGTTTCCGGAGTTTATAAGAGACAAAGTGCTTGCCGTGATCCAACCTCCAGCCCAGCGGTTTGACTGGTAATCAAGTTAGGAAGGGCTGGGCCTTAAGACAACCCCAGAGGGACAAAGCCAAGGGGCAACACACTCACTGACCTGGAACACCCGTTCCTTCCTCCTTGCATGTTTTCAGAAAATAGCCTGCTGTCTGCAAAAGATGGGCCCAAGCCCAGGCTAGTCCTGCCAGGCCCCGGGGAGGAAGCAGTGAATTTAGACTTCTCAACCCAATACTCGGTGCCCTGGTGGTGCGGTGGTGACCTGTTGGGCTGCGAACTGCAAGGTCAGCAGCTCAAAACCACCAACCACTCTGGGCCTTCCTACTTCTGTAAAGCGTTAGTCTTGAAAACCCACAGGGGCAGCTCTGCCCTGTCCTACAGGGTTGCTATGAGTTGGCATGGACTCCACCGCAGTGAGTTTATTCCTACATAGCTGTCCTCGTAAACCCCAGCCGCAAGGATCAGTAGCTCGGCCGCACCACTCCCTCTTCCCAGCCCTCTCAGAGCAAAGGGCTCAGGGGCAATAAAGCCAGCCAGCCAGCAACAACCAACCCCCCTCCTCAGACTGTCTCCAAGGAAACATGGACTCACCTCCTAATGCCACTCCTCCTAAAGAAAGGGATGGGAGGGCAAGAGGGGTGAGGAGGAAGCAGCAGTGCCCTCAGCCTTCAGCCCCAGGAATCTGGGCTGAACTGGCCGGGCCACAGGCAGACAAGACAGCAAAGCAACCCATTCTGGGGAGGATTTCTCTTCCAACGAGTGAAACCTCACTGAAGGCTTTAACCCTTGAGCACCTGCCTCCCCCCCTCCAACCTTCAACTTCCAAAACCCAAACCAAACTGACCCACTGCCAACAACTCCTAGAACTGCTCCTTTGTGTTTCTGAGACTGTCAGTCTTTACGGGAGCAGGCAGTCTAATCTTTCTCTCAAGGAACTGCTGGGTATGTGAACTGCACCTTGACATTGGCAGCCTAACAGCTAACCCTCACCACCACCAGGGCTCCTCCTATCTTTCAAGGGTGCTTCTCCAACCTCTACAGCTGGACTCCGTTGAGACTGGACATCTCAACACAGACAGAAGGACAGACACCTGCAACCCCCCCTCCCAAATCCCCAAAGCACAGTTCTGGCTGGATCCTGCCCTTGAAATGCCTCAGGAAATCCCCACTCCACCTTCATGTCCCAAACATGCCAGCCAGTCCTGGGGGTTTCCAGATTTGGTTTTAAGGCCAAGTGGCCCCAATCCAGCTAGTTCCCCAACCTGACCCAGAGTTTAGGGCTCTGGCCCTGGACTAGAACCCCCATGGGGCGTCTGTTGGAGCAGGAAGGGCACAGACAAGCTAGGCCAATTAGAGTCATTACCACCTACACTACTTGCTACTTCCTGAGGAACAAGCTCTGGTCCTGGGCCAGCGGAGCTTGGGGGCCCTAGCTGGCCCAGAGATGGTGGTCCCTTTGCCAAAGCCCCACCTCCTTTCATCCACCTCTCCTGAAGAGCCACGGGAACGAGGACCCTCAGCATGGAGGATGGGCTAGCCCAGGAAAAGGCCAAAGGGTTGATCAGAGAGTCCCTTCTCCATTTTGCAGAACTGGGGCCAACCCCAGACGCAGCCCAAGCCTGCGGGATTCTCTTGCTCAGGCAGGGCCTCTGCTAGTTGTCACTGGTCAGAGGGCTAGGTTTCTTTCTACTGGGAAACAGGTCTGAAATGAAGCACAGTGCAGGTCTTTCGGAGGTGGGCATCAGTTGGAATGCCACATCTACCATTTGTTGGCAGGTTATGGTGGGCAAATGATTTAATAGATGAGTCTTTGGGGGTTCTCCCGAGGCCCCAGTGAGAGCATGTGGGGCAGCCCTCAGGGAAGAGTCAAGTGCTCACGGAAATCAACAGCGGCATCCTGCACCTACGCTGAAGCCCACTGGGCCAGAGCAGCAGGCAAAGCAAAGGGGAGCATTGGAATCTTAGGGGAGGGGTTAGGGGTGTGTGTGTTACTTTGAACCCTTATCCCTGGAAGTAAACAAGGTGAGTTAGTTTGGCTACCAGATCCTAAGCTAGGAGAGTCTTGTCTGTCTCATTCTAAACGTCAGCTGGTACACACACACACACACCTGGCAAGCCAGCTGACATCCCTCCCTTACCAGGCACACATACCAAGTGAGATGAGTCACCCAGCAACCTTGTGCACTCCCCACCCCAGGGCCTCCAGGCCATCGTGCCCACAACAACCCCCTCCCCACCCCAAGACTCCTACTTGGGCTCACCCTCGGGTGGGGGGCTTGCTTTTTGGTTTCTGGAGTCTTTGGCCTTTCCCAGAACACCAAAGGGCTAACAATGTCCGGGAAGTGTGGGGAACAGTGATGCTAACCTGTCCCAAACCGGCCATTGTTGGAAACTGTAGGTAGGCTCGTTTGACAGGGCCTGGAGGTACTCAGGGCAGTGCTTGGCCAGGGGCGTCTCCTGTCACCAGCCTTTCAGGCTCGGCAGCCAGGAATCCTGGGTAGTAGCCACCTCTCCCCCATCCACTCCCCCCCCCCCCCCCCCCCCCCCCCCCCCACCCCCCCCCCCCCCCCCCCACCCCCACAGCGGTCAGTCTTCCTTCCTGGTCTCTGATCTTCCTAAATTCAGAGCGTGGGGCTGATGCTCCCTGGCCCCAAGTCTCCATAACCAAGCCCCTTTTTCGGAATCTCTCCAAATCCCACCCATCCGGGCCGCCCCGTACCTTACCTCCAAAGCCCTGGGTTTGAAGCTCCCGGTAGGAGCTGTACACCTTCCGCGTGAGGTAGTTGATGAAGCCCTCCCGGGCCGCGAACTTGCACACGAAGCTCTGCTCGTAGAGGCAGTTCATGAGGAAGCAGGAGGGGGTGTCGTCCTCCAGGCCGTTGGGCCGCAGCTCCACCAGCGCCAGGTTGCAGCTGTGCGTGGCGCAGCAGGCGCGGACGCAGTCCCAGTCCCGGCGCACGGTGGGGGAGCCCAGGAAGGTGGCCCCGTTGCTGATGGAGGCCTCGGTGTCCAGCACGAAGGCCGGGACCCCGGCGGTAAAGAGCTCCAGGCAGGCGGCTCCCCCGGGC